AATAAATTAAAGCTGAAAGGGCCAAGTCAGATTAGTACAGTGCAATTCCAGGGCAGGGACAATAGTAAAGTGCAAGAGTTGAAACTAAAGTTATGGCTAGATGGGCCATTTCATTTAATGAACCGATTAATCAAAGGCACATTGGAACAACCATGTTTTTAGGTCTTTAAGGAAAGTGGACAGGGTGGGTGCTAATCTAATCTCCTTAGAGAGTTCCAGAACCAGGGGGCCACCACCGAGAAGGCCCTCTCCCTCATTCCCCTAATGCACTTGAGACAGAGGTGGGAGCGAGAGAAGGGCCTCCCCAGCAGATCTTAGAACTCATGCAGGTTCATAGGGGAAGATATGATTGTGAAAATTGGCTGGACCCAAACCATTTAGGGCTTTGTATTGTGACTGGAAACTTTTTGGCAGCCAGTGGAACTGTTTTAATTGGGGGGTTTGTCCCTTCAAAGCAGTTTCCAACATGTTTGTGGCAAAATTCAATGCCTTACATACACATGAAAACCAAAACATAATTTCTAGACAATAACATATACTATAAATAAAAAACCTTAACCATATTACACATAAACCGCTCCGAGCCAAATTGGGAGTAGCGGTATACAAGTTGAATGAATGAATAAATAAATAAATAAATATCAGCATAAAACAACATATGCATTAAAATCACATTAAAACATAACAAATAAAACCGTAATTTAAAATTGCACAATCCAGGAGCATACGTCAGGAGTCATTCCAATTGTCACCTGTAATTGTTCTTTATTTCACTGAGATATCAATTGTTGCACTATCATTGTGCAAATGCTTGGTCACACAACCAGGATTTGATTTTCTTCCTGAAGAAAATAATAATAATAATAATAATAATAATAATAATAATAATAATACACTTTCTTCATAAACCACCCTATCTACCCAAAGGGATTCAGGGTGGTTTCCAACAAATATGGCAAACATCCTGTGGGATTGCCACAATTGACAACTTGAAAACACTTGCACAAAACCAATATGCAGTGGGAACTGGTTCCCATTGACCATGCTTGGACTCCTATGGTTCCTCATCAAGAATATGAGAAACTAGGACTGATGAGAATAGCAGATGCTTAACCTGAATTGGCTGAATGAAAGTAGACTGTTGGCCTCACTCATCTCCTTGTACCGGCCCACTATTGATTAAAGTCCACCCGACTTTCTTAGGAACTGCTTCGTTTTAATCTATCCCTTCTAAATCCATGCCTCTATTTCCCCCTCTCTCTGTTTTATTAGGGTCAGAAGAAGTGCCTCCAGCTGCGTGGGCCTCCAATCCCCAGAAGCCCTATCCAGATTGTTAAATGGTTAGGAATTTTGGGATTTGAGGCCCAAACAGCTGGAGAACCGCAGTTTGGAGATGCTTGGTATAAACCAGGCATGAGCAAACTTTGGCCCTCCAGGTGTTTTGGACTCCCAACTCCCACAATTCCTAACGGCCTCACGCCCTTTCCTTAAGTGGTTGAGGGGGAAAAGGAAAGAGTGTGAGGCTGTTAGGAATTGTGGGAATTGGAATTCAAAACACCTGGAAGGCCAAAGTTTGCCCATGCCTGGTATAAATTATTGTCAGAGAAGTAGAGTTTGCCCATATACTTTTAGCAAAAGATTATGTTACAGTAGTTATCTTCCACACCAGTGGAGGCTGTCATGATATCAAATAGAAGGTACTTGGAGTAATGGGCAAAGGTTTTCATAGTGGGCTGTACCACGGGAATGATCTTCTATAAGAAAAAGTGTGCTACAACAAGCATATACTCATTGTGCAGCTGTGACAAGCATTTTGGACCTCCTGTGATAATTTTGGATGGCCAAACATGATCTTCTTTAATGAGTTCCCAAATGCATTCAGAGATCGCATCCTGGGAAAAAAAATCCACAGTATTTTAATTTAATATAGTTAGTGTCTTTCATTTTATACCCATTCCCTAGGGTTTCTCCTCTTGCCTTGCTTACACCACTTAATTCAAGGGAAAACTTCAGGGAAAAGAGGTTCCGAAATTTGAACTCTGCCTGTAGTTTGTGCTGTTTTCTTATGGCATCTTTCCTTGAAGGATAATCCCATTGTTTTCCCTCAGATAATAGAACCATAGAGTTGGAAGAGACCTTGTGGTCCATCCAGTCCAACCACCTGCCAAGAAGCAGGAAAATTGCATTCAAAGCCCCCTTGACAGATGACCATCTGTGGCGGAGGCTCCAAAGAAGGAGCCTCTACTATGGTCCGGGGCAGAGAGTTCCACTGCTGAACAACTCTAACAGTTAGGAAGTTCTTCCTAATGTTCAAGTGAACTCTTCCATGTCCTTGTTTCTAGGGGAGCAGAAAACAAACCTGCTCCCTCCTCCTGATACAGTCCAGTGAGTCTCAGCAAATTGTAGGCAGAGCTTTTGGGTTGCCCAGTTCTTGATAATAGTCTCACTACCCTGTTGAGAAAGGAATGATGGAGCCATAGCTCAATAGTAGGTAGCATGCAAAAAACAAAGTCTCCAGGCCAGCTTCTGGCATCTCTAGGGAGGAGTGGGAAAGACTGCTGTCTAAAGCCCTCCAGCACTAGACAGACCAATGGTTTGACTCAGCAGCGGCAGCTTTCTGTTTTCCCAAACAATGATACATACATTAAGTTCTATTGGGGGGGGGGGGGTCCAAAGTGCTTGTCACCATCATCATTTTTTGGGCATTCTCTGGAAACAACAGGGCATTAAAATGCACAGAGAGAGAGAGAGAGAGAGAGAAAGAAAGAAAGCAAACCATACCCTTTTGAGAACCTAGAATATTGGCATATTCATCCTCCATTTTGGTGTTCAAAGATGTTAAAAATTAGCAAATGCCTTGACTGATGGGGAAAAAAACCATCTGTTTATCTTAAACTAGAATAAACAGCCCAAAATGTTTCAAAATATGAACTGGTAATTGTAAGATATTACACCTAATATTTACTTATTTATGGTATATGATTTCTGGATCATGTGATTTTAATGTTTATACCAGAATGATTTTAGGTTTTCTGAATGTTTAAATTTTATGCATGTCTTATGTCTAATAGTTTTTAATTATTTTTTAAGTTCACAGTTATATGTAGTAATTAGTTATTATGATTTCTCTGTATACTATATGTTGGCATTGATTTTTTGCCATTAGTATGTTGTAAACCACACTGAGTGAGAAATGGTGATAAAGGCAGTATACAAATACAGTAAATAAATAAATAACTTTTTATTGTATTTATATACTGCTTTTCTCACTCCTGGGGGGATTCAAAATGGTTCACAAGATAATCCATGGCAAAATGCAATACCTTACACATATAAAACATCCCATCTCAAATAGCAATAGATTAAAACCATTAAAACTATAAAACTATAAACAACAATCACAACACAACATAGAACATTTAAATCTTGCAATGATCCTGAGGTTATCTTTAACTATTTCCATACTTCAATACTCCTGTCATTCACCAAATGCCTTCTTGAACAACCAGCTCTTAAGTTGCTTACTAAATGTTAGGAGGGAGGGGATTGATCTAATGTCACTGGAGAGGGAATTTCACAGCCAAAGGACCACCACTGAGAAGGCCCAGTCTCTTGTCCCCGGCAATCGTTTCGGCAAAGGCGGTGGAATCAAAAGCAGGCCCTCGCTTCTGTGAAGGCAGTGGGATAAAAAGCAGGCCCTCCCCAGCAGATCTTAGTATTCTAGCTGGTTCATAAAGGGAGATGCATTTGGACATGTAAGCTGGACTGGAACCATTTACGAATGTATAGTCTAAAGTCAGCCTATTGAATACATACGACTAAATCTTTTCCCTCCCTCCAGGTTTACCTCTTAATGACACAACATAGAAATGCTTCCCATTCCAGGGCTATGCAATAGATGGCTGAAATAGAAATGCTTCCAGTTACAGTGCAAGACAAATTATGAGTGGCAAGGGGTAGTTGAAGTATTTGAGGCATATCAAGGAAGAAACGACATTTGATATCCTAGGCACAGTCTGGGGAGCATTATGCTCTGATACTGTTGCTACATTCAGGCTGTTTTGGTTTACTGTTGCATAGGCTTGAATTTTGTTAGAAGACAACTAGGACAGCACTGGGACACTGGTGAATATACGTCAGTCATGGGAAAGAGTCAAAAATGTGAATTATGCATGATTTCAGAGATGCAGTTGGGAGTATTTTTTTTGTTGGTGTTAGTGGTGGATTATGCTTTAAAATGTGCAAGCTACCTAGTTACACACAAAACAAGCATGCACATACACTCAAAATTCACGTGGAAATATAAAACTCGGCAAGATATGGATGCATATGCACAACAAAATATAGTCCTCTATTTTAGCAGCAAAGGTAACTTGCGGTACCAACAATCTAGCTGAATACATTTCTCAGTTTCCTTGCAACAATGCATTGTTTCAAAGTGAATTATGGCAAGAAAGAAAATAGAGAAATAAGCAAAGACAATGCTGTTTCTGCCAGGGAAAATAAGACAGCCACAACCTGTGAAAGGTCACGGTTTGGTTACTCCTGCTGTGATTTCATCTACATTACATGATTTTAAGAGCACGGTAAGGAAAAAAAGTCAGTTCACATCATGCAAAATATCACTAAAGGCGGAATCGTAGGCATGGTTTATATTTTGACCATGACTTATACTTGAGGATAGTGAAATATCAAGAAACACCATTGGATGGGCCTTCATGTTGCAAGAAGCCATCTGCATGATAGAATCATTTTAATGAATTTTGTGTCTCAAATTACTAAAGAGGATTTTAATTTCCATAGGATTTGTGACATGAAGGATTCTCAGTACAGGCCATTGAGTGTTTAGGTTTAGTTCTATTACAGCAGGGAAGCCTAAAATTGCCTGAGCTTATTTTTTTGCTGTAGTTTTCCTCACCTGCCTTACAATTTCATTTCACAGAATTCTCAAAGTTGAAACTGTAATTTTATTTATTTGTTGTTGTTTTAAATCTTTACAGATCTGTTTTATTTTCAAAAAGAACACCATTGGAAAAAAAATCCCTCCAACAATCAAATGCTACAATCTTCTTAGTTCTGGCCTTACAGAGGAAAGACAAAACAGGAGCTGTGAAGCTTTGCATAGCAAGTAGCTTCTGAGTTGCCTGAGAGCTTCTGGATTTCAGCCTCTTCACAAACGAAGAGAAGGAAAAATATTTTCTTGTCTGCTTTATGGCAGGCAGACTATGGTTCTCTGAGAGGTTTGGTTTGGGGAAGACTGGATTGAAACTTGGCCATTGCTGTTTGCAGTGAAAAGTCAACAGAAAAACAAAGCCTGGGAAAATACCACAATTGGACAATATGACTACTATGTGCACGTGGATACTGAGCCCTCTATGAATGCTTGGATATTGACCCCATTGTTCTGGGTCTGTGGATACTTGGAGAAGAATTTCTGCGTACTTTGTGGGCTTCCCCACATCTGTATATTTTTCACCCATCTCCATCTTTCTTTCCAGTTCAACAGCATGGGCTTTTAATGGTATGATCTGCTGAGTCACTGGTAGACACTTGTCTCAGAAGCCGAGCAGATGACTGAATAACATCTATTGTGCCTTTTATTTTCTAAAGACCTGTTACAGCTCAAGCAAAGGTGCACATCTCTTGGTGCTTGAAATATTTGATTTCTTCTTTCCTCCCTTTAAGTGGAGAAGTGATTTCTGCCATAGGTGGACACAGCGGAGCTTCTCCTACTGGTTGGCGGCAACTACTTCCGTCCTTCATAGCACACTAGGAAAGCAAGAGTCTACCGTCTGGTCTGAGTGGTTCCTGGAAAGATTTTACCCTGTCTGCTTCAAACCCCCCACCACCACTCCCCCCTCCTCTCCCCCCTCTCCCCCACCCCACCCCACGGAGAATGGGGCCTGTGCTCCTCAGGCGTGGAGGGTGCCTCCTGCTTTGGATGGCACTGCTCCTGGGATGCTGGGCCGAGCTTGGCAGTGGCCTAGAGTTCCCGGGAGCAGAGGGCCAATGGACTCGTTTCCCAAAATGGAATGCCTGCTGCGAGAGCGAAATGAGCTTCAACATGAAGACCCGCAGTTCCAGTGGTCTGGTCCTTTACTTCGACGATGAGGGCTTCTGCGACTTCTTGGAGTTAATTCTAACTCAAGGCGGGCGCCTTCAGCTGAGCTTTTCCATCTTCTGTGCCGAGCCTGCCATCTTACTCTCTGACATGGCTGTCAATGACAACCTGTGGCACACAGTAATCGTCCGCCGCAATTTTAAGAACACAACGCTACTAATTGACCAGGCAGAGGCAAAATGGGTGGAAGTCAAATCCAAACGGCGGGATATGACGGTCTTTAGCGGCCTCTTTCTAGGAGGTTTGCCTCCAGAGCTACGTTCGCCGACTTTAAAAGTAACACTCTCCTCGGTGAAGGATAGAGAACCCTTCAAGGGATGGATAACAGATGTAAGGGTCAACTATACACAGTCCTCACCTGTGGAGAGTCAAGAAGTGCGACTGGATGATGAACAGAGTCACCTGTGTGCCCGGGATGACGTTTGCCTCAATGGCGGCGTCTGTTCTGTGCTCAATGACCAGGCAGTATGTGACTGCTCCCAAACTGGCTTTCGAGGGAAAGACTGCAGCGAAGGTAAGGACCTTGTTTCATCTTTGCCCTACCAGCCCCTCCCTCAATGAAAGGGAAGGTCAGGAGATGGAGACTGCATGGCTTTTCCTCCATTCGAGTGAAATCTCGCAGCTGTGCTTTACCCTCATCCATCTCATACTTGGACCTTTTGTTAAATACTCCTGCCCTTCTTCCTCAATCCCTTTGAATGATCATGTGACCATTATCTTTGTAACATTTCAAATAGATTAGATGGAGAGGAGGTTAGTGGGGAGATAACAATGTTGAGGACGTGAAGGATGTGATCACTGGAGAAGATGTGCCTTTATTTTGATGAGCAAGATTGTGGAGTGTGGAATGAATTGCAGAGAATTAGATTAAGAAAGGTGAAGATGATTTGTGTGTATGTGTGTTCTTCATCTCTAACAGTGGATGATGTTGAATTATCCTTCCCCTTAAAGAAACTGGTTTGCAAACTCATCCCCATGTCAGGCCAGATGAAGTACTAGGGATTTAAATCTCTCAAATGGAATTAAATAACTTTCAATGAGAATATTTTCATTTACCAAGTTTATGGATTTGAGAGCTGCCAGTTTTGTTGTTGTCCAGAGGCATGGAGGGGAGGGGGTGGGGGGAAGAGATGATTGGATTTATTCCTTGTGTAAGGATAATGGAGAAATGAAGTTTATTCTTACTCTGTGGGGGTAGGTTTATTATTAATATCGCTAGATTGCTTGAAGTCATCCCAATGATTTATTTGTTCAGTTCTTTAATTGGCAAAGAATATGAAATGTTGTGGATTTAGAGCAAATTCCATTTTGCAATAATAGAATTAGCCTATTGATATGTGAGTCACACAAAAATGGAATAAAATTGAATGATGATTTGTACTGGGATATTTCCAAAATAAAATATTTGGAAACAGGGAACAGAAGATTAAAGGGTTGAATGTCTCCTACACATACACAATAATAAAACCTGCATTGTTAGTACCTCCCCTCCTTTTTTTTTTGTAATAGAAATTGATTTTTCTTTTCTTTTTTTCCCCTAAAGGCTTTGTAGTTTTTTTCTCCAACCTTCTTGAATTGGGAGAAATAGTGAGAAAATATTTTTGTTGTGTTTTTGTTAGACAATTAATGGACAAGTTTGCTGTTGACTGTTTATAAGGTTGGATAATATGTATTTCTTACATCTATTTACACCAAAGGAAATAATTTTCTTCTCAAAACAACAAGGGATGTGATTTAGCATTTAAATTAGATCCATCATAACCCAGATGAAAGTGTTAATTGAAAGCCTGCATGTCTGTAATGGCTGAGTAATCTGCCTTTATTCCTTGTAATCAAATTTCATTGGCAGGAGAAAAGCGATATCATTTGTGGGCGTGCTTTTTATTATGTAAACCTGCTGTCCTCACTATCCAGTACTTATGCTTTCAGCCATTCAACATACTTTTTAATTTATCAGCTCTTTATCTTTCATATATGCAATATTAATTAAAAACAGTAAGAGTTTTTATGAAATACCTTCACAAATGCAGGTGAAAGTGTAACGTCTTAGAATAATAAGTTGTATCTCTCTTGGCTGTTTGGAAAATGGCTTTTTTGGGTTGATCTTTTGAGCAAATGCTTGATTTCAGAATGGTGTAAGCCTTAAACTGAATTTGCCCACTGGCATTTCAGTGTGCAGAGTTGCATTCCAGTTCAAAATGTAGTGGATCAACTTCGTCAATTACTATCACAATATCATTAACACTAGCTGCTTGTTGGTATTTAATGCAGGTAACATAACAACATAAAGATCCAAAAAAGAGAGGGAGAAGATGTTATGTTTTTGCATTAGAAACATGAAACAAAGGCATATTCCTTAACAGCTGATGATAGATATGAGTAAAAAAAGCAAAGAAAATCATAATGAATCTTTAAATGGGAAATATGTCCTTGGAACTTCTTTCTCTTGTGTGCCTTCAATTTCTTTCCAACTTATAGTGACCCAAGGCAAAACTATCACAGGGATTTCTTATTGTTGACTTTTTTCGAGAGGCCTTCCTCTGAGGCTGAAAGAGTGTGACTTGTCCAAGGTCACCCATGGGTTTCCATGGCCAGGGTGATCTCTAGAGTCATAGTGTGTCCACATGGCAGAATTAACACAGATTGACACCACTTTAACTGCCATGGCTCAATGAAATGGGAACCTGGGATTTGTAATTTGAAAAGGCACCGGCACTTTTAAGCAGAGAAAGCAAAAGACGATAGCATTGAACCAAGGTAGTTAAAAGGAGTGCCAAATTGTCTTAATTCTACAGTTTGGATGTGCCCATAGTCCAGTGCGCAAAACACCATGTACTAGTTTGCTCCTAAATATACTGTCCCGTTTTATTTTCATTTACTTGGAATCAAGTTCCATTATTTAAATGGGAAATACTTCCAGGTAGGTGTGCAGGTGATTTCAGCCACAGAAACCAAGCACAAGGTTTTAATTACTGGAATAATAATAATAATAATAATAATAATAATAATAATAATAATTGTTACTTATTTGCATTCCGCCCTATCTCCCTGAAGGAACAGGGCAGATTCTAATCACAAAAAGGCAAACATTCAATGCCTGAATACACTTCCAGTACACACATAATAGCAAAAATAATAACCCAACATATGAAAACAAATTAAAACTTAACATCTAAATTAAAATAAGGCAGAACCTATCAAATAAATTATATCAACATAACAGCAGAACATCAAATAGAAGCATCCATTTCCCAAAGCTGACATAATTCATTGGGATATATAGATTAATTATATCCAAAGATGTTAACTGGGCTAGCAGAGTAAAACAGAGCTCGGTATAATAGCAGTATCATTATCTAATCCTCCTCCTCTTCTTCTTCATAATCCAATGAACAAAAGTATGTTTCCAGTTGTTGAAGGCTTTCATGGTCAGAATCCCTGGGTTGGTGAGTGTTTTCTGGGCTGTATGGCCATGTTCCAGAAGCATTTTCTCCTCAAGTTTTGCCTGCAACTATGGCAGGCATCCTCAGAGGTTGTAAGGTCTGGCGTGAGTAGAGAATGCTTCTGGAACATGGCCATACATCCCTGAAATCACACAACCAACTTATGTTTTCAGTTGTTTTTGAAAGCAAGGAGGGAGGGGACCATCTTAGGGAAGGAGTTCCAGGGGTTGGAGGTGGGGGGCATCACAGACAAGAATTATGAGGATTTTTCATTTTATACCAGAAACATAATACCAACTTCAGATGGGAAACCTTTAACGTTCCAGATGTTATTGGACCATTCTCATTAGCCTTTATTACTGGTTATGATGGTTTTGGCTTCTGCTAAGAAAACATCTGGAAGTCCAGTGGTCCCCATCCTTGATGTAAACTGTTTCAAGTAAAAATGTACTCTTTATAATGTGCAACATTTTACTTGCTTAAAATTTATTTCAGATAATAGGCAACATGCAGTCATTTACAGAAAGCTGTTACCCTGAGCCCTTGCTTCCTATTTGTTAATGAATACCATATTAAATAAGGTAGCTTGTGCAACAACGACAAGAAGCTCTTTGTATTGATTAATCAGAGGGTTGAATTACTCTGTGATTAGGTTCCATTTCTTGTGACTAATTAGGGGAAGCAAAAATAAAATAGGGAGATGACATGGAGAGCCAGTTGTCTCCATTAGGCATAAGAATCATACAGCTATTGCCTCCTAGAAGCTGATTTCTTATTAAGTAGTTCTGTCTCTGTGCAGAATTAAAAACCATCAGTAGGTTTACCCAGTGGTTGATACTGGCACTGAATGAAGATGATGTATATAAGATAATAACATTAGCATGAAGGCTCATCATTATTATCATTTATAATTCACATGTGCCCAAAAGGTACTTGGATGCATGTAAGTTAATCACAAAGTCTTTCTGGCTGTTAGAACTTCAAAGCATTTTATTAGCATGTGGGTGTGATATATATGCAGTGGATAAAATAATTGTTCATGGCAATTTCTTTTTCACATAGAAAGTTTTGTATTGCAAAAAAATGTTCACCAGGCAGAATGATTAAACAACTTTGATTTAAATACCAATTTACTGAAGCAGTAAAGGGCCATGCTCCTTCTAAAGTGCCATCTATTCATATTATATTCAGTATTTATTTTTATTACTACTGAAAGTACTAGGCTTTGCAAGAGTTGGAATAGATTCCAGCATGATACACTGAGGTTTTCAAGTAAATTTGTGTGTGCTGTTGTTGTTCATTTGTTCAGTTGCTTCCAACTCTTCGTGACCTCATGGACCAGCCCACACCAGAGCTCCTTGTCATGGCCACCCCCAGCTCCTTCAAGGTCAAGCCAGTCACTTCAAGGATACCATCCATACATCTTGCCCTTGGTCGGCCCCTCTTCCTTTTTCCTTCCATTTTCCCCAGCATCATTGTCTTCTCCAAGCTTTTCTATCTTCTAATGATGTGGCCAAAATACTTCAAGGAACTCTCAGAATTTTCCTCCAACACCACAGTTCAAGAGCATCTATCTTCCTTTGTTCAGCCTTCCTTATTGTCCAGCTGTCACATCCGTAGGTTACTATGGGGAATACCATTGCTTTGAGTATATGTGTAGATGTAAAATTGAGCACACAATGCCTTTCCTAACTGAGTGAAGTCATATCCTTTATGCATTACCACTTCAATTATCTCAGTTGATAATCACTCTACTGCACACCTATTCTATCTAATGAAGGAATGGAAGGCAGCCACATAATTGTTCCAAAGTACTCCTTTTGCCTGACTTCAGACCTCATTGACTGCAAACCTATGTGCTAACTGGAGACCTCTGCCATCTACTGACTGAAGATAGTACAGCAGGATCTGTGCTTATTAATTACAACTTTTTCTGGAAACACTTATGGGTTAGCAATTGATAAGAGGTGGTTGTTGAGGTAGTTGTTGAGGATAATATTTGTCATTGATCCATGGAACGTCTCTTTGAACAACATTGATCATGAATGGATCTACACTGCAAAATTAATGC